TCATACACTGATGGAGACTAAACTGGTACAAACTTTCCTGTGGGCAATTCAACAGCAGGCACCAAGAGCCTTACCAAAGTTCATGCCTTCTGACCTAGCAATCCTTCCAGGATCGCTGTTAATTACAGTATTCTTCATAATGGAGAAAAACTGGCAACAACATAAATGTCCCATAGATGATGGCTGAAGTATATTCTTACATGATGGACTACTAGGCAGTCATTATATATCATGTTCCCAGATAATTATTGACCTGAAGAAATGTCAACAATATAATACTAAGTGATAAAGTAATATATAAAACTTTATATGGCATGAGTCCATTTTTATAAAATACATTTATGTGCATACATGCATATGTCAAATGTTAATACTTGTTACTTTGGTAGGATTGTGGGAAATTTTTATTTCATTTTTTACGTTGAGCAGGCATTTTTATCATCAGAAGAAAATCATTCTGGGGCTGGCCCTCTGGCCTAGTGGTTAAGTTTGGCATGCTCTGCTTTGGTGGCCTGGGTTAAGTTCTCAGGTATAGACCTACACCACTCGTCAGTGGCCATGCTGTGGCGGCAACTCATATCCAAAATAGAGGAAGACTGGCACAGATGTTAGTCAGGGCAAATCTTCCTCAGAAAAAAAATCAAATCAAATCAATCAATCAGCAATTTAATAAAAAAGAAGAAAATCATTCTATTTATGAAAGAAAAAGAAAAAACTAAGACTAGGTAAGCAAATAATTTTTTTAGACTCTGGTGTGATATAGGGATCTTTGTGGAAGTTCTCTGATGGATCATTCTTTCCCCTTGCAAGGATGTGCCCCTTCAATTGTAAGGTGTTAAAGAATGCTAAAAAGTAAGGAAGGGAAAGATATTCTAGGGTCTCAGGGCTCTACATTCTTTGCTGAGTGGACACAAGTTGGCCGTTTCATATGCCTGTAGGAGGATTGTCTGTTGGGGGTGGCAGGATAGAAGCACAAAGGAGCTGCCACTACTTCTAAATTTGGGGACTGTGGGTTTTTCACAAGTCAGAAAGCGGGGCTGGTCCCGTGGCCAAGTGGTTAAGCTCACATGCTCCACTTTGGCAGCCCGGGGTTTCACCAGTTCAGATCCCAGGCACGGACATGGCACCGCTCATCGGGCCACGCTGAGGTGGCGTCCCACGTGGCACAACCAGAAGGACCTGCAACTAGAATATACAACTATGTACTGGGGGTTTTGGGGAGAAGAAGAAAAAAAGAAGATTGGCAACAGATGTTAGCTCAGGTGCCAATATTAAAAAAAAAAAGTCAGAAAGCGTTGTTATTTTATTGGCTCACCAAGCTCCCTCAACTATTTCTTAGAGAACTCTTGAGATCTTGCCCCATCACTGAAGTATCCCCCTATCCCCATTTCCAGTCTACAACTCACGCATACTACTAGGCTCAAGGCCTTCCTCTGAAATTTCTTTCTTCTGCTTGTTACTGAGTTGGTGTTAACCAGGTGGTCTTGCTGGTTACTCTTGGATCAGACTGTTTTGTGTACCCCAGTTTAGTGGGCACATTGCAGAAGGAAGAGCCCAAGTTTGGGTCACTGTCTTGGGGCCACACTCAGCCCTGGGCCATCCAGTCTACACTGCTCCTTCAGTAACTTAGTCTGTTATCCGAAAAAACATTAATCAAATACCTATTTTATGTCAGGCCCTGTGCACGTAGAGATAAAAAAGATAAAGTCTGGGGCAGTACAGAATTGGGTGGGGAAAGATTTAGAAATAAATAATTACCTTACAGCGTGATTGATATAACAGAGGTGTGTATAGAGCAGGGAGTGACTAATTCTGTCAAGGAGGAGGGGACGTAGGAATAGGGTGTAAAAGGAAGATTGGGAGTTCAGAGGACAAGAATTTGCAGGCAGAGGGAACAGCAAGTGCAAAGGCAAGGAGGTCAGCATGTTCACCAGCATGAATTCATGGTGGTGTGGCCAGGAAGCAAGGAGAGGAGGGGCAGGGAACCAGCCTGGAGGCAGGTCCAGGCCAGACTCGGAAGGTTGCACTTTTCCTAGAGGCAACAGGGACACAAGTGGCATTAGAGAGAAGGTCTGCGACTTAGTCTGACTGTGTTTCTGTGTGCTCGAAAGGCTGCACTGCCTCTTGCCTCCCTGGGAGGGTCCTGGTGCCCCCGCTCCACTTCCAGTTTAGTTATTGCAATGATAACAATAATTCAACTAGTCACTTCAGATTTTATACATGCTCTTTTATTTCAGCTTTCAATAAAGTATGAGTCACTTCCAACTCAATTATTTGATCTTAGCCCACTTTTCTTCAAATAAGATATAACTTCTAAATATGCTCCAATTTCATGGATAAATCAAACCTCATATTTTTTATTGCGTAAATTTTCAAACATTCACAAAAGTAGGAGGGAATAGTGCAATGAACCTCTCTGTATCTATCAGCAGTTCAACAACCGTCAATTCATAGGTGGTCTTGTTTCATCTTTACCACCTCCTCCCTCCCCACCACCACACAGTGGATTGTTTTGAGCAAATTCTGGACATTATACAATTTCATCTGCAAATACTTCAGTACACAACCTTTTTTTTAAGATTTTATTTTCCCTTTTTCTCCCCAAAGCCCCCCAGTACATAGCTGTGTATTTTTTTAGTTGTGGGTCCTTCTAGTTGTGGCATGTGGGATGCTGCCTCAGCATGGCCTGACCAGCGGTGCTGTGTCCGCGCCCAGGGCCGCCAAAGCAAAGCACACGAACTTAACCACTCGGCCCCAGGGCCGGCCCCTCAGTATATATCTTTATAAGTATTTTTTAAGTTCCTTTGGTTAAATCAGGACTTAAAAAAGACCAGACTTTGCATTTGGTTGATACGTCTTTCAAGTTTCTTTTCATTCATAATAGCTCATCTTGCTATTTATTTATTCAAGAAACCAGGTTATTTATAATGAAGAATTCCTCCACTTTTGGAATTTGACAGATTGTAATGTTGTTTATGATGTCTTTCTAGCTCATGAATTTCCTCTAAACTTGTTACACCTAGAGGTTGATCAGATTCAGCTTCACTTTTTAGGCAATGCTATATACTTGCTATTGCAACATATCAAGAGGCACATAATTTTTGGTTCTCTCCTTTTAATTTCCTAGATATGATTTTTAAATTGAAATGTAATTCAGTTAACATAAAATTCTCCATTTGAAAGTGTACAATTCAATGGTTTTCAATATATTCATAATGTTGTAAAACTATTGCCACTATCTAATTCTGGAACATTACCATCACCGCCCCCCTTCGCCCCCGCCCAAACCCTGTACCTGTTAGCAGTCACTCCTCATTCCACCTACCCCCCAACACTTGGCAACCACTAATCTACTTTTTGTTTCTGCAGATTTGCCTATTCTGGACATTTTATATAAATGGAATCATGAAATATGTGGCTTTGTTTACTCAGCATAATGTTTTAAGGTTCGTCCATGTTGTAACATGCCTCAGTACTTCATTCAGTTTTTGGCTGAATAATGTTTCAGTGTTTGGCTATACCACATTTTGTTTATCCACTCATCAGCTGATGGACATTTGGGTTCCTTCCACTTTTGGCTATTACAAATAATGCTGCTGCTATGAACATTATACACAGGTTTCTGTGTGAACATATGTTTTCAGTTCTCTTGGGTGGTCTCGCTTTTCGTGATGTTAAAATTATCTGGAGGGGTCAAGTATTATTGGTATTATAAAGCTCCCCTCAATCTTTCACCCAGTGGTTTTAGGACTCCCTGATGATTGATGATCCTTGTCTAAACCCATTATCTCATTAGAGGTTAGGAAATGATGATTTTGTAATCCTATCATTCCATTGGCATTTACTAATCAGAATTTGTTGACAAAGAATTTAGACTAAACCATAGTTGTAAAAAAAGACAGGATAGGGGCTGGCCCAGTGGCGTAGTGGTTAAGTTCGCATGCTCTGCTTTGGCGGCCTGGGGTTCACAGGTTTAGATCCTGGGTGTGGACCTGCACACTGCTCATCAAGCCATGCTGTGGTAGCATCCCACATACAAAATAGAGGAAGATTGGCGCAGATGTTAGCCCAGGGCCAGTCTTCCTCAAAAAAAAAAAAAAAAACACAAAGACAGAATAAATACTTGACTGCTTCCTTTCATTTATCAAACAATGATATTTTGTACTTTCCTATATGGAACCCTAATAAATTCTGGGTCTCTACATGGTCAAGGCTCTACACGGAGTTGCAAATAAAGAATTATAATCCTGGAAATCCAATCTCTACTTGGGGAACTAGGGGAATCCACTTACTGCCCCACAGCAATACTTCATAAAATGCCTGCCTTTCCTTTCTAACCTGTCTCTTTCCTTTTTCCCTCCCCCTTCCTTGTTCTTTATTATATAGATCAATTTAGCCTCTCTGCCCAAGTCCTTCCTTTTCCCAGCCTCTCAGACTCTACAGCTCATTCTCTCTCTCTAACCAGCACCCCTCCTCCCCCTTCTTTTTTTTTCCTTGAGGAAGATTAGCCCTGAGCTAACATCTGCCGCCAATTCTCCTCTTTTTGCTGAGGAAGACTGGCCCTGAGCTAACATCCATGCCCATCTTCCTCCACTTTATATGTGGACGCCTGCCACAGCATGGCTTGCCAAGCAGTGCCATGTCCGCACCCGGGATCTGAACCGGCAAACCCCGGGCTGCCGAAGCAGAACGTGAGCACTTCACTGCTGAGCCAGCGATCCGGCCCCCCTCCTTCCTCTTCTGATTCTATACTACAAAAGATCCAGGAACTGGGCTGGCAAAGAGCAAACTCTCTAAACTGGAAAGTACGATTGGATTCTGAGCTGGAAACATTTTGGTGGATGGGTAAAAGGAGAGAAAAAAGGAAGAACACACAAACTAATAAAATCTTATTTCCATCACATGTATTTTCTGCAATGTACTTGCCTTACTATGGTGGAATAAAAAACAAATAAGTAAAATGTTTTAAAAATAAAAGAGATGGTAGGGAAGTAAATGGGCACTTTCCAGCTCCTCTCCTCTCCAGTTAGACTGCTGCATCCTTGACTTGCCGTTCCAGGGAAAGTGAAGTGGAACCTTTCCTCTGACTCAAGATTCCAAGCAGGGCTGTGGGGGTGGGACGATGGAATCTGCTCCCGTAACAGTGCAGAGGAGCCTCTGGGAAAGGCTGCTGGAAGCCCAACAGGCTGGAGAGGCTGCCATCTCGTCTCCCTGATTGAAATTGCTGGGCTCTCCACCCTCTTCTCCGAGAAGCACCTCCTCTGAGTCTTAAGGAGACCTCCTTCGGGCTGTTCAATTTAGACATCTTTGCATCTCTTAGGGGATTCTCAAGCATGGGGAGGGTAAGGAAGACCTCTCAAGGCTTCTTCCTGCCTCGGGAATCTGGATTGGAGACAGCCAGAGCTCTAAGACACAGGGCCCCATGTTACCCAGGCCCATCTGTCCAGGCCCTAAAAATACTCTGGTGGCGAGTCGGAACTGAACCAAATGAACGATCCCAGCCAGGTTTTCATCTGTGTGGTGAGCACTAGGAAAGTGTAGACGCAGGCAGATTTTCTGTGGTCTCAGCCTATCTCCACCTGGAAGAAGTAGAGAAGCCTCTGTGTCAGCGAGGCAAAGCGGTCAAGCCCACATGTTCTGGAGTCACACATCCAAATTCTAATCCCTCACTCTGCGATTTATAACTTAGTGATCACAGGCACGTTCCCTACCTCTCTGAGCCTCAGTTTTCATCTGTGGAAAATGGGCAGAATGGTTCCATCTCATCGTTTGTGGTGAGGATTAAATGAGACAATGTCTATAGAGAGGCTGGCCCACTCCCTCCAATTGGGAGCTATTGTTATTGAGGAGCTCATATACCTCAGTTTCTTCATCTTTAAAACAGAGATAACAGCGGGATCTACCTGAGGGAGAGGATTAAATGAGATAACACATGAAGGTGGTTGACACACTGTAAATAAACATTAACTATTAATACTATTAACATTCTCCCTGCTTTGCTTGTGGTCACAACCTGATAGTTCCCTTCTACTGCTTTCTCCTTCACCCTCTTCCAGTTGCCAGGACATGATTCTTCTCGTCTTTTTGGACAGAAGACCCACAGAAAGAAGAATGACACCAAGAAAAGAGCACATGAGGGGAGGAGGAGGGCATCCAGGGGTCTCTCTCCTTCCTGAGACCCACCTCTCCTCATCCATCGCACTCAAACCCAGGGCTTTCCTATTAGTGTCTCTCCTGAGCAAAGCCCTCACCCAAGGGTTCATTTTAGAGACTTCTATAATCTCCAGAGGATCAGTATTAATCTTCTCCACCTACAAGATGATTGGCAGCTCGAAGCCAAGTGCTTCCCAGCCAGGGAAAGAAATGGAAGTTTCCTTTTTTGCTGTGTCTCTCTCCCCCCTCCCTTTTGCGGGGGAGCTGAATGTGCTCACTCTAGAGGGACTGAGGGAAGCCGGGGCTGGCTCTAATGCAATTTTGCTTAGATGAAGCTGGCAGCTGGGAACCACTTTCCCTCGGCTTGCCCTCTGCCGGGGAAACTCCATGACGGAGACAAGGCAGCTGGCAAGGGGAAGCCTCAGGTTTGAGGACAAGGACGCTGCTGCTGCTGCTGCTGCTGCTGCAGTGCCATGCAGGGCCACAAGGGACCCCGCGGCCATGGACACTGTGCCAATGACCATTTCGTTACTGGGGACCTCTTAGAAAGGCAATGCCTTGGGACCTTGGGAGAAGGATTCTTCTTTATCAGCAACACAGTAGCAAATACAAAGGAACACAGGACGTAGTAGAAGGAGTGTGGGATTGGGAATCTGAAGACCTAGGTTCCAGTCCTGGTGCCATCACTCCACGGCCATGTATTTTTGGTCAAGTTGCTTAGGATCTTTACTCAACTTTTAGTTTCCTCATTTGTAAAATGAGTGTTCCAATACCTCCCTCATAGGACTGTGGGAAGAATTAATATATGGGACCTGGAAGATGGAGACGGTTAATAAATATTCATTTATTCCACAGAGGGACTGAAGAGAAAGGAAATCACTGGATTCTGGAGGCTTTATGGTTTATGAGCTTATTCTACAGAATTAAGCACCAGCGTTATGCCATTTGTCAGGTGCCTGGTTTTAATGAAGATGTGTGTTTATCATTCACCACGAGATCCCCAGAGGCTCCCTAAATATTCTGGGGCTCAGAACTGGAGCAACACATCAGACAGAAGGAATTTGTTCCCCCCAGAGATTCAATCAGCATCTCCCTTAAGCCCTTTGCCGCCCTCCATGAACTAGTCCTTTTATGCCGCCAGCACCGTGTCCTCATTCTGGGGGAGGCCAGAATGACACAGCTACATGTCACCCTGTGATCTACGGTGGGAGAAGGAGCTATGTCCCCACTGGAATTGAAAAACATCCTTGAGGGCTGCAACTTTTGCAGGGAAGGTTACCATGCCAACGACAGCCTCCTTGCCCAACAAGGATGAAAAGAAACAAGGCTGTGGGTGACACACATCTATTGTATGTGTCCACAAACTTGCCTGGAACCTCTTAGGGGCTGCTAACTGCAGCACAGCAGGATGGGGCTGCGACTGAGAGGTAGGAAGATTCAGGTTAGATTTCAGTGGGACTCCAGGACAGGCAGAACGCATGAGGGCAGGGCAGGGCCAACACGGGAGGATTGGGAAACATCTTCCTGAGATTGATACCCATCTCGTGTTGAAATGTGTGGGTGTGGTACTGACAGCAGGCGTGGGAGGGGATGGTGTCCTAGATACCAGGTTCTGGCTGTGATGGGAACTTCAACTTCCTCCAGGTTCTTTTTGCCCTTGCCAGCCGATCTAGGAGGTCAACCACGCTCTGGGTGGGTAGAGAAGAGCAGCAGACAGGAAGGGCAGGTCATTGGAATGGTGGCTGAACTGAGGAAGGTGAGTATCAGGGCCACAGACATGCCCCTGGTAAAGGCATCAAATCTTGGCAATAAGGCCCCAGAGATGCCAAAGAAGAGACAGTCTTCCCCAAGGGCACAGGGCTTCTAGGAAGAATGGCCAAGTACTCAAGCCCTTCATATCTCCTTTTCCCCACCCAACTGGGAAAGTGCACAGAGAACTGAGGAACTGACATTAATTAAGCACCTACTCCATGTCAGGCACTTTATACAGATACTTGCCCCATTTAATTTGATTATCACAACAACCCTGCAAATCAGGAGTTATTATCCCCATTTTACCGATGAGGAAATTATAAGTACCTTCCCAGCATCAATCAGCTGGTAAGGGGAGAAGCTGGGATTGGAACCCCCTCTCTCTGGACCCCATAGCCTGGAAGGGAAAACTAGATCTTAAGGTTGTCCTATTTTCTTCTGGAGAGATCTCTTCCGAAGCTGTCAGCTCCCATGTAGCCCTTCAATCGGGCTCCCCAGAGGAAGTCGGCTGGGAAGAGGCTAAAGAGACACGGACAGCAGGTGATTGGGAACACCGCCCCCCCTTACACATTTGTTAGGGTAACGGAGCTGCCACTGAGGGCCATGCCCGCTCCAGGAGGTGCTTAACTGGCATCCTCTCATTTTATCCCCACACTCTCGGAAGAAGAATCTGAGGCTCAGAAACCAAAGCGTTTTACTCAAGGTCACAGAGCGAGTGCGCGGCGGGGCTGGGAATACAACTCAGCTAGGTCAGGCGTCAAGCCGGGCTGGACCCACTGTAGCCCGGCCCCCCCCCCCCCCCCCCCCCCCCCCCCCATTTCTGAAGCTCCGGCACGGAGGAGACGGAGGGCGCGGCGCGGGTAGGGGCAGGCGGGTGGGGGTCGCGGCCTGGGGTAGGGGGTGGCGGCCTTTGCAGGTGGGGGTGGCGCAGCGCGACTCCGGTTCACCGCCCTCTGCGGCGGAAGCGGCCTCCATCGCGGGCGACCTCCCCGCCCCCGCCCGCCCCTCGCCATGTATGGTGCTTCCTCCCGGGGCCCTAAAAGGCGCTTCCTCCTGCTCGAGGCCCATACAAGGCGCTTCCTTCCCGGCGCGTCTGGCAGGCGGCCCGCGGGCGGCTGTGGGCGGGAGCCTGGCCCTCGGGGCCCGCCCGCGCCTGGGAGCCAGCAGCCAGGGGACACGATGCCAAGAAGGGGGCGGCCGGCGGGCTGGGAACGCGCGGCCTGGGCCCGGCCGAGGTGAACGCGGGACAGGCGGGCTTGGGAGCCCCGACCCGGGCACGGTGCCTTCCTCCATTCCCACTGTCCCCACCGATTTCATATTTTGTCCCACTCCCTTCCCCCGCCAATTTTGGAACGAGGCTCACCTTGCTGGAGATCGTTCCGCGGCTCCCAGCCCTGGGGCTGAAGCCCAAACTGCGAGCGTGGTGTGAGGGCCTACCGCTCCTCTCCTGGCATTTTGCAAGTTGGTCTTTGGTGTCTCTCTCTCCCTTCGTCCCTCTTGCAGTTTCTTGCCCCTCCCTGCCTCTACTCAAGCTGTCGCCTTTGCCTGGAATGCCCTTCCCACACCATTCTGGTAGAACGCCTCTCATCCTTTACTTGGTTCAGACATCTGGCTATCTGCAAATCCTTCCCACCCCACCCCATAGGCCCATTATGAACTTAACACAGTATTATACATCATTTATTTATTAGGACTACGATTTGATCTTACTCATCTTTGCATTCCTGCTGCCTAGCTTAGTAAGCTAGAGTTGTTATTACATCTGACCCAGGGGAAAGAGGGAAAGGACTTTGTTTTCAGGCCAGTCATTGGTGCCTTTTCACCTTGGATAGGAGTCCCTGACTTTAGGTCCCGCCCCTAACGTCTTCACCTGCTTGCTTCTTGTGGTCTGGAGGTTCATGAGCCCCAGAACTCTACATGAATAGTTTGACTCTGTAGGGAAAGTTGGAGAGATGGGGTATGGGGAGCCAGAGCTGGGGCAGGTATACCACCTGCAGTGGGGCTGAGGTATGGAGTAGTGCACACTGGGTGCCCCCACCACCCGGAATGGCCTCCTTTGCTCAGCCTGACAACTCTGGTTATTCACTGCAAGAACCAGCAAGCCCCCACAGGCCCTCCCTACAGTGCCTCTGAGAAACTTAAACCTGGCCCAGCCATGTGGTTACCCTGAGCTATCTGCTGGGAGATGAGCAAAGGTCAGAGAGAGGGACCAGACCTCAGCAGAGACCAGACTGTCACCAGTTCCCAAAGTTCCATCCCCCAGCTCTTCCAGAAGGGCACCATGTCATCCAGAGTACAGGCTTTCTGCTGGACCAACCTGTGGCCCTTGATTGTTCTGCCTCAGGTGAGGCAGGGAAAGAGAAGCTCAGAGCTTTGGGACTGAGTTGGGGAACATGCCAGGGAAGGGGCTTCAAGTGCCAAGCAGCCTCTGGGCTTGATCCAGAATAAAATCAGTCATAGGCTTTTAGTCTTTGGTCGTGTACACATACAGACTGTGAATAAGGCCAAAAGATAAGGAGCTTTGTTGGTCTCCCTGGCCCCAGGTCAGCTGAGTGCCTGATTTGGGTGCATGGAGAGGAGATGATCTCTAAGGTCCAGGACTGAAGGTTTAGGGGTTAGATTTTGGAAAAAACTGGGTCTCAGGCCCTGGGCTGCACACCCAAGGCCTGGTTTTCCCACCTCAGGCTGAGGTCCCTCAGCAGCTTCCTCTTCCCAGCTATGATCTAGCATTGTGGGTAATGTAGTCCAGAGGACAGCTTCTCTCTGGTGCTGGTTCCTGCCCTCCCCTCCTCTCCTTCCCCCTGCCAGCCACCACCCTCTTCTGCTCCAGGCTGAGGGCAGCACAGGGTGAGAAGGCGGTACTTGTTCCTTGCAGGGCTGGGAGATCCCCGACTGGAAACCAGCAAGCTATTTATAGCTGAGCCTAGCAGAGAGGGAAGGCGTGAGAGAAGCTGGGGAGCGCCAGCAGCCTCCTCTCTGGCTACAGAATTTGCAGGAACCCCAGGCCTGTTGGGCAGGCCTTGTGTTCTCTTCTGAGTGAGAGGGCTTTGAACCTCTGAAAGCTCCATGAAGCAGTAGGGTTCTTGGGCTGTTCCCTGCCTTGAGAGAGGCAGATACTCTCGTGGCCCTGGGGCCTAGCTTTTAGGATATTTGGAACCTGGGAATTGATCAACTGAGCCTTTTTGCAAAAAGAGTTAATGTGACACCCAATATGATAGTGACCTGGTAATTCTATGCATTTTGCTTTCTTCTTCTTTTTTTTCTTTTGAGGGAGATTAGCCCTGAGCTAACATCTGCCACTAATCCTCCTCTTTTTGCTGAGGAAGATTGGCCCTGAGCTAACATCCATGCCCATCTTCCTCTACTTTATATGTGGGACGCCTGCCACTGCATGGCTTGCCAAGCGGTGCCATGTCCGCACCCGGGATCCGAACCGGCGAACCCTGGGCCACCAAAGCCCAACGTGCCACTTGACCACTGCGCCACTGGGCAGGCCCCACCAACCCCATCTTCATACTGTAACAAGGGATCTTGCCAAAAGGATAACCAACCCCTGCCTACAAAGACTGGGTTGGGTGCAACTTTTGTTTCCCCACCCACCCAATCCTCTGCCCAGTGCCCTGTGCCTTTCCCATCAAAGAACAGAATCTTTGCTTGACTAGGTCCCCCACTAGATTGGGCAGTCCTTGTGGACATGGATGGTATCTGCCTTGTTGACTACTATATCCCCATTGCCTGGCACAATAAACAATTGTTGAATGAATATGAACCTATGATACTAATATTGTTTGTGGAGTACTTAATTCATGCTTCACTGTCACATTCAATCACAGATTGGAAAACAGTTTGTCATTTAAGTATCCTTCACCTAGATCTTGATAAGTGGTAGAGCTCTGATAGGAACTGGTGTCTGACTTCAGAGAAGCACTTAGCCATAACATGAGGATACCTTCATGGTGGCACCCAGTAGGTACCTCTGGCTCTTGAGCAGCCAGATGGGTGAGGTGGGTTAGATGAGGTGGGCAGACATGGTCAAACTGGCCTGGCCCTATGATGCAGCTAGTGCAGCCAGCCAGGAAGCTGCCAGGGAATCATCCTAAGAAGCCTAATGAGAAAGACCTGCTCTGATCTGCCAGAGGGGAAGTCCTGAGGCAGTGGCCATGGGGGCTGGAGATGGCAGACAGGCTCTGAGGGCTGAGCAGCAGTGTTTGGGGGCTCCTCAGATGTTACCAGAAACCTCCTGTCTCTGAATCCAGTAGATTTTTTTCAGTCCTCACCTTCCTTGAGTAATTCTCAGCAGTATTTGACTTGTATGTGATCATGTCTTCTTGACGCCATCTCTCTCATCATTTACACGTCTCGAAGGACAATGTTCTGTGTGGTCATTGTGTTCCAGTGCTGCAAGACTGAGCCCCACGCTCTTTTCTCAAATTCCACTGTGCCCAGAAGGCCCTCTTTGAAAAAGAAATCTGAATTTGTCACCTTCCTGCTTAAAACACCTCAATGGCTTCTCATATTCTTCAGAATAAAATTTCAAGTTCTCAGCAAGGCTTTGAGGCTCAGCCTGGTCTGCACCTGCTGGCCTCTCTTTTGACTTCATTTTCCACCATGCTCCCGCTTTGTTCTCTGAGCTTCATCCACACAGCTCTCCACCTACCTCCTCAACTATACTCCCTCTCCCACTGCATGCTGTTCTCAGTATGTAGGATACATTCCTCTTTGCCAAGCAACAGTGTCTTCAGAAAAGCTTTCTCTGACAGACTCTCATGTGTGACCCTCCCTCAGGTGTTAACTGCAATAGGGATTTCACATTCATTGGAGTAATCTACTAGCCTGGAAGCCAACTGGGACAGTGACTGTGTCTCTTTTGCTCATGACTGTATTCTAGGGTCTAGCACAGTGCTTGGCTGTAGTAGACACTTATTTATGTAACAAATGAAATAAAAATTTAGTTTATTTAACAAAATACCCCATTTTAAAGTTGAAGGAACTAAAAGTGAAGTTAAGTAACATGGCCAAGGTCATGCAGCTAGTAAGTAGCAGGGTGTGACCTGGACATCTGGCTCCAGTGTCTGTGTTTTTAACCCCTGCAGTGCACTACCCCTCCACCTGTTAAGTAGTTTTTGAAAGTAAAGAGAAAGGGAAGAAGGGAAGAAGAAAGGTATCTGGGAGACAAAGGGACTCCCCTCCCAATCATGGAAATGCAGAGTTGGAGATTAAGAATGAAAGATTACATTTCACCAAAAAAGATATATAAATGGCTAATAAGCACACGAAAAGATTCTCAGCATCATTAGGCATGAGGAAAACACAAATCAAAACCACAATGACACCAGTGGTGAACAATCCAAAAAAGAAATTAAGAAAACAATTCCATTTACAATAGCATCCAAAAGAATAAAATACCTAGGAATAAATTTAATGACTTGTACACAGAAAACTACAAAACACAGTTGAAAGACATTATAGACCTAAAGAAATGGAAAGACATCCCATGTTTATGAATTGTAAGACTTAATATTGTTAAGATGGCAATACTACCCAAAGCAATCTACAGATTCAATGCAATCTCTATCAAAATTCCAATGGCCTTTTTTGCAGAAATGGAAGAGCTGATCCTCAAATTCATATGGAATTGCAAGGAACCCTCCCAGCACCTTGACATGTTCACCAACCGGGAAGCTCTCTGAACTCCATAATTTAGGGGTTTTTATGGAAGTGTCATCACACAGGCATTACTGATTAAATCGCTGGCCATTGGTGATTAGTTCAAACTCCAGCCCCTCTCTACTCCCTCAGGGTGGGGCTGAAAGTTCCAACCCCGATATCATCCTTTTCTGGCAACATCGCCTCCACCCTGAAGTCCCCAACCACTAGTCATCTCATTAGCATAGAAAAGACACTCATCACTCCAGAGATTCCAAGGCTTTTAGGAGCTGTGTGCCTTGAACTGGGAACAAAGACAGAATATGTATTTCTTATTGTATCACATTACTCAAAAATAATAATAAAATAAACATGCAACAACACGGATGTATCTCAAAAACTCAACTAAATGAAAGGAGCTAAGTCAAAGAAGCTTGATGTAGAAGACAATATATTGTACTATTTCCATTATATGAAATTTCTAGGAAAGGCAAAACTATAGAGGCAGAAAACAGACCAGTGGTTGCCTAGGGCTGGGAGTGGGAGCAGGGAATGCCTGCAAAGGGGCACAAAGACCTTTTGGGGTGATGGACACTGGAACGTGTGATGTTTGCATGACTATACAAATTTATTTCAAAAATCACCAAACTATACTTACAGTGGATAAATTTTATCTCAATAAAGCTGTTAAACAAGCAACAACAAAAATGATGGCAGGGTGGAAAAAATCAGTGTCCTGAAATCTGAGCAGCTTCTTGGCCTTTGGATCAAGTCAGGACTAACTCATCTACCTCTCCAAACTCTCCTCTCACCTCTCCAGGCTGACCCTTGCTTACTCCCAGATGGAGTGAGAGCCACCCTGCCCTCTCTTTATCCTCTGACGCTCCTCACTCTGTCATTCCTTGCTGTCTCTGCTGCTGGACCATAAGCGCTGAAGGGCAGGGTTAGTGCCTGTTGTTCACCAATGTATCCCAGCATCTTGCACAGGGCCCAGTACACAGGGAATGTCTGTAAATGCTTGCTGAATGACAGAATGCCACTAGGGTTAACCCAAGTCCAATTTAAGGAATAGAGGTGGCAGTGGGCTGTGTCTGTGGAAACGGAAGGCTGGAGGAGACTGGGTTTCTGAGGGCCTTTTGCTCAGCTCCCTGGGGAGGGGCAGGGCCCCTTCATGCTCCCTCTCTTCAGAACTGGAGTGCAAAGGAATGCACCTTTATCTGGAGGAGCTTTAACTCCTCTTCCCCAGGTGACATTCTGCCTTATAACAAACAGTCCCCTTCTGCAGGCCCTCCAGTGTCATTAGGCCGTTGGTCCAGACCACCCACCCTGGGGAGCCGAGGCTGGGAACGTACTTAGGTCTAGACAGCTATGTAACACGGGGCAGGCATCTGGCATTAAACTCTGATTTCTCCTCATTCTCAAGCCCAGCTCCCACCTCCCTTCCCCCATGGAGCAGAATATCCCTGCATCTTTGCCTTTACCTCAGAAGATCCTTGCCATTCCTGCTTGGGGAGCCTCTCTCTGAAGTTCTCATCCTCCTTTCCTAGTCTCCAGGTTCTCTGGAAATGGGTTTGCCCATTTCCTTTGGGTGGGGATGGAGAATCAAGCAAAAGGGGCTGAACCCAGGGAGGGTATCTCAGCAGAATGCAAGAGACGGAAGTCTGACAAGGAAACCTGGATGGGGCTAATTTGGAACCTTGGGGGCTGGAGAAGCAAGTTAAGCTTCACACTCAAGCCAACCCTGACTCACAGGGAAGTGATTTCTAAACAGCTTTCACAATCCCACCTGGATGTTGGCCACCTTTCTCCTCCCAGTTCTGTCTTTGGCTTCAGGCCACTCACTCTCTGATCCTCCCTTTTCTCATCCCTAACGAGGGGGAGAATAGGGTTTAGCTGAAGAATAACAAGATCATCCATGTGTTAAGAGCACTGAATGCGGAGTTGTAACATCAAGTGCTCATGTTGGCTCTGCTAATTTGCTGCATGAGCATGACAGGTCATTATGCTGCTCTCTGGGCTTTAGCTTTATCTTTTTAAATGAGGGGATTTGAAAAGTAAGGTCCAGGGCCCCTTTAAGTGCTAAAACTGATGCCTTAAGAAGTGAAAGTAGGGGCAACAGAAGAGCTACATAAGGGTGTGGCTGTAGGCAATGGACTAGGATCTAAAGACACTTTTGTCTTTTCTGAGAATGAGCTCTAGGCTCCCAGGTACAGCTCTTCCTTCTTCCCATTGTCCCCAGGGTTGTTCACTCAGCTAGGGGTCAAGGGTCCCCCAAAGAAACCCTTGTTTCTCACACTGCCTCATCTACCCAGTACCAGACCAACCTCAAAGCTGATTTCATCTGAGGCATGTGACAGCAGCTCCTCTCCCGGCCCTGCCTCTGTTCTCTTCCTTCCAGTCTGGGTCCAACTCCCAGGCTCAGCCCCCAGCCCCACTGGCTAACTCACAGTGGGGATTTCTCCTGAACTGCAAACCCTGCAGCAGAACTAACTCTTCTAAATGCTGACCTCTGAGTCAAACCCAAATTTGAATGAAGAATCAAACCAAAGTTGTTTTAAGTACCTTGTGAACCAGTTAGAACCTAAACACTCATTATCACACTGTTCTACAATGGATGTTCATGATGACCCTATTGAAGATGAATAA